TACTACCAAAAAAAGAAATGATAGCTATTAGTTATGTTGACAGTGTACTTTCACCTGGAAAAGAAAGTTGCACTAAACAAGTATCAATTCTGATGCTCATTTAAATTCTTTTTGTTTTCTCAGGAAGGTGATAAGAGGACAGACTGGAGATTTAAATGCTACATTGTACTTTTACCAAATAGGATTTAGCGGCTAATTAGCCACATAGACCTATCAGGAAAAAAGGAGTAATACAAGTATCCCTCGGAACACTTTCTTATAGCCTTTCTATCTTCCTCAGGCAGGTAATAGAAGGGAAGTTGCAAAGAAGCACAAGAATCCAAGTTGTTTTATACGTCTTAATAAGTTTCTACTTACGGAAATAGAACCCAAAAGAGAAGCTTAAACTAGTTCCAGGAAGAGGGACCACAAAAAGTAAAGAGTCGGCCGTTCACCATCATGATAAGTTGAAAGAAGATTCATCATAAAGTGAACCAATGAAACTCCACTAAAATTCATCATACAACAACAGGAATTTTTAGATTTGAGAAAGTCTGCCTTCATAGAGGGGTTTTAAAGAATCGCATCTGTGCTAATATAGTGGAAGCAAAGGTATCTCTAGGCCGCAAATAAGGCGAGCAATGAGAAAGCTTATCGGGGGGGGGTGGGGGGGGGGGGGGATCGTGGTGATCCTTATAAATTATCCTGAAGATGTATATGCTGGAATAATCAATGGATCTATTACAATACCTAAGGCCATCTAAGAAAGGAGAAATGGGCCAGGATCTTACTACCATTCTCAAGCAGGAGCTTTTTAAGAGCAATGATAATGCTGCACGTTGGGCAAGTGGCCACTAAAACTTGCTTATCAATTGGAATTTCAAAGAACTGATGATTTCAAATTATTCTTTCTTACCCCAAGCCCAACCCAACCCCACAAAAAAGCGAAAAAATAGGAGAGAATGGCGGGGGGGGGGGGGGGGGAAGAAAAAAAAGAACAAGAAACAGATGATTTCTGTTATAGCAATAAGAATGTGTTACATGCGGATCATATTATTTCTTAAGCACCAATACCTTTAAAAGTAAGTGTTGTCAATTGGATAATCATTAAGGGTAGACTGAATTCATTTACATTTGATAACCTGGCAGGAAGGAAATCTACAGAGAGAATCTGCGTTTTTTAAAGTATATATGAGAATATAAATAATCCCTTTGTCACTTGCCCATCGTGAAATTCACCAGAGCTCCTTGCAGTATAACTTAACAATTACTGCCTTCCATTACTGTTGACATATACAGTAAGAGGAAATTTGATAAGATGGATTATGAAGACACTAATCAGAGCAGAATGACATGTTAGCATTACAGCTTTACTATGACGCCTCAATAAGTTGGCCAGTGGAGATATTAATAGAACACAATGAGATGTCAGCATCATAGCTTTATGTTAGGTGCTCATAGAAGACAAGAACGAAAGAGTTTTTAGCATAGAAATACACATTCATTTCTAATAATTGAATGGAATGATCGAGACTCGAAAGAAGTTCTCGAATGTAATAAAATTAGAATTAGTATAATAAAACATATTACACTAAATGTAATTTTGGTAGATCTGTGAAAAAACTGAGCACATAGTACATAAATGGACAATAAATGTCTAAGAATAGTCTCTTGCGCTATTAGGATTAAACTTTTTTGAAAATGGTAAGGTTGAGGATGATGTTCATAAATTAATCAAATAATGACGATTAAAGCAGAAGAGGAGTGCTTCTAAATGCTATATGATTGTAAAATTCCAATGATATGGGAAAGAAAATTCTATAAGACGATCATAACACCAAAATATTTTTGGATTAAAATGTTTAGCGATTAAAAATAATATATGCCAAGATAAGAAATAAATGCATTTGGAGAAAATTATCGGTTCATATTGAGGTTAAAATGAGAGAATTAATTGAGATGGTTTGACATAGGTGTGGGCGTAGGCTGGTTTGGCCCATGGGACAAACTGGCCCAACCCGCATTGGGTCAAAACCCAGTTTGGCCCACAAAAGACCAGGCCTAAACCAACCAGACCCATTTCCAGGCCCCGAGCTAGGCTAGATCCCACTCCAAACCCAAGGACTGAGAAGCCAGGTTCACTAATAACTGGCCCGGCCCGACCTGCCCCACTAATCATGATTTGGATTATCAGCGCCTACGAGACCTTTATTGGTGATGGATGTTTGCTCACTTATATGCACAATTTGTCAATTTAGTCTTGAGAACGTGAAGTTTTTCGTTGGATTGCCATTTACCAGGTTAAAATAGAGATGCAAAAGTTTGTTTCTATGAGCACTTTACCTGATTCTAATAGTAACAATAATTATACATCTTGCCCTCTTCCGTCATTCCGCTTCAATGTTCCAATTATATTTCAAGTTTAACTTTATCCTCACGAGTAAAAAGATGGTCAGCCCCAAAAGGTGTCTGGAACTGCTAGGGTAAGTTTTAACAGCCCTAATGGTTCCACCCATTGCGACGTACCATTTTCAGAGAAAAAGCATTGGAGGGAATTTCCCTCCTAATTTTTCTTACCCAAAAATTAAAAAAACCTTTTATAAAAGCCTGAAATGTCTGCTCTCTCTCTCAATCCTATTCTCTCTCTCATCAAGAACCACCAAATTAACCCCCTCCCCCCCGCGCACCTCTCTCCCCCCAAATCGGAGCTCACCACTCGTTGCCTCAGCACCCTCAACGTGTTCTCCTCTCCCCTCAAAACCCCACCACCTCCTCCTCGCCGTTGGGGCACACTGTTCCCCCTCCTCCTCACCGTTGATCGGAGCTCGTCGCCATCCACCTCACACGCTAACGTTGCATCTCCTGCTCCTCATTTCTACCGTTTCACCTACACGTAAGCCCTCTTTCTCAAAACCTAATAATGAGGAGATAGCCACCTCCTCATTTCAGCTCTAATTTGTTATTTTCCCTAAAAAATTGATTGTCCCTTTAATTTAAGGCTTTATCCTCCTTATGTTGTCTCTCTGAATCAAAATCGTACCCAAATTCGATTACTGGCTTATTATAAACCATTTCTTGTCAAAATATTGCTTTTTATGAGAATTGTTTTTTTTTTTGAAATTGGTCTTTTATCTTTGTTTTTGGGTAATTAATGTATTTATGAAACTTCTGCATACAATGTTGACAAGTTGAAACTAGTGTGAAGTGAATTGATATATTGTAAAGTTGTCAACTTATATGGTTTAATATAGATGTCTAAACTTCTCGACAGTTTTAAATGAATGAGGCATAATTAAATTCCCTTTTGATCTTGTTAATATCTCAGTGCACCCGCCTTTTATGTGCATGATGATAGTTTGAATGTGCAATTTGAACTGAAATATTTACATTAAGTTTGGTTATTTACATTAAGTTTGGTTATCTGCCTCTTGAAATTTGCCAAGCCTTCGCTTGCTTACTCTTAAGGTTATTCTCTTGTTTAGTAGCTTTAAATTAAGACTATCAAAGCCAAAACTATTGATGGCAATATAGGAAATTGGTCATTCAGACCCAAGGGATGTCAGGCGAGAAGTCTGCTATACTGAAGGAGTGTTTGAGCACACACGGGAATTCAGTGGATCCACACAGTGATACATACACATATCCTGTCACCCAGACTCACGACTATTGTGTAAGCGTAAATTTTTTTGGCCAATTCAAGTGATTTTTCTTCAATATGTTTAGAATAACATTATTGACTCACATTTGAATACTTTATGTGGTGTTGGTGCAAAAACTAAGCCTCGACGGTTGTAACCGTTGGTGTAAAAGTCACTCCTAACTATTACAACCATTGGGCTATTTTTTCTTTTTTTATTAATTTAATTATTTATTTGCTCCAACGGTCGTAATCATTGGGGCAGATTTTTCAACCGTTGGAGCTGAATCAATAATAACGCGATTTGTCCTAACGGGTGATTTTTTTGCCCAAACAGTTCTAATTAGGGAAGATAATTTTTGCCCATGCCCATTTACCCACCTGACCCATCCATCACTTAGCCCGTTCAAAACTCACTCATTTAATTAAATGGGTCTAATTAGGCGGGTTCATCTCAAACTACACTAAATGGGTACTAAATGGGC